AAAAAAAAAATCTAATTGCATAAACATTCCCACAAACTATTCCTTAAAAAATAAAATGAAAAGTCTATTTTACACAGGGTTCTGGTCTCAGATATACTTCCTCTACAATCTTCTGTAATACATGTAATTGCCAGGCATGATAGCACATACCTGTCCTGGCACTTGGAAGGCAGAGGCAAGAGGATTTTGAGTTTGAGAACAGAAATCAAACCAAAATGAAAACACAAAACTGAATTAATTATGGCATTTAATGTTCTATTCCAATTAAGTGGTTCTACATTACTTTTTATGAACAGTTACTTAGGCAGCCATACATACTTTTAATAGGTGATCCTATTATTATTTTTAAGCAATTAAAAATTTTTTTTTGTTAAATGTAGCCTAAACAGAAACAAAAAATTCTATGAAATCAGTATTTTCTTTTACTTCAATAACATAAATAATCTTACTTCTGAAGACTTGTTCTATTTTAATGATTTTGTTAGTTACTTGGTATGTTTCTCTCCCTGTGTGCACATGCATTAACAGTATTAATGCATGTGTGTCGATTATTATTTACTGGTCAATTCATGGAAAGAAATGAGCTCACCAACAATTTTTAAAGCCTATTTTTCTAATAAATAAAACTTCAAAATAACAAGACAAGCCAGGCACTGGTGGCTCGTGCCTGTGATCCTAGCTATTTGGAAGGCTGAGATCATGAGAATTGTGGCTTGAGGCCAACTTGAGCAAACGGGTCGCGAGACCCCCCATCTCCAATATAAGCAGAGCAAAATGGACTGGAGGGATGGCTCAAGTGGTGGAGCATCTGCTTTGCAAGCACAAAGTCCAGAGTTCAAACCCCAGTACAGATGGAAGGTAAAAAAGTAAAACCAGAAGAGCTAGGTTTGTGAATTCTCTCCTTAACAGCATCTTTCTCTCTCTCCACCAATGGCTCATAACGAAGTGCTCTGAACAGTCACCGCTTACTTTACTTTCTTCCTGTCTACTGGTACTCTATTCATATACCTGAGTCACTAAATCCCCCAAAGTGACCTTTTTTGGGTACCGGGGTTTGAACTTAGGGCCTCTTCTACTTCAGCCACTCCACCAATCCTTTTCTGTGTTAGGTATTTTCAAGATAGGGTCTCCAGAACTATTTGCCTGGGGCTGGCTTCAAACTGTGATCCTCCTGATCTCTGCCTCCCAGGTAGCTAGGATCACAGGCATAAGCCATGGTCACCTGGCTTCAAAGTGACTATTTTTGACTTCTTCAAAAGATATATAAAATGTACACTTACTACTGCCAGTGGCAAGTAATGAATGACACTCTGAGTCTGCAGGTTTACAAAGTGAAATGCTGGAGTGACAGGTTCTACTGGATTCTTCAGTTTTCAAAATGGTAGCAGCACAGTTGTTGCAGCTGACTGAATTCACCAAGATAGGTTTTTTCTCAACAGGCACAAAACAGGAGTCCGAATTTAAAGTATCACTCTGCCTTCTATAAAGAGACTCTGAATTGGAGTTTGCTTCTAAATTGGAAAACATCTTGGCAATTCTTTCATCATCCAAGGTGTTTTCAACGACACCATTCAATGCAGCAGGTGGATACCAAGTGGACTTTGGAGAATTCTCTTCACATTCACAAGAAGATCTTGTTTTAGTTGCCTGATATTTACAGTGAGTTTCAGAAGTATTCTGTGAATCTTCTGTCTCTTGTACAGGAGTTTGCTTGGAGAAACAATTGCTTTTCTTGACCTTTGGTAAGGACACATAACTTGCTCATTAATACATTCCAATCTTGTTCCTAAATCAACATTTTTTTCCACTGGTTTCACATTCTGGGAAGATTCTATACTCTTCTGTGACAATACTAAATTTTTGTTAGAGCCCAATGAGGAATCAACATTTTCAGAATGTTTGCATTTGCTAGTTATAAGCACAGTACTTAAATTGTGATCACCACTGGGAACTGTATCCGTAATTGCTGTTGTTTTCAGAGCATCAATGCTTTTTGACCTATTCAGGATCTCCCCTTGCTTCCGGCAACTTATAGGCATGGTCTTTTTGGCTTTTAATATCTTCCGCTTACTTCTATCGGGACTTGCCATCTTTCATATCCTAGAATTTAAGATACAATATTTAAATGCGTTTCTCCAGTGAATTGTTATTTACCTACAATATTACAATAATGTTGAGACTGTATCGCCAGATTTAATTACTTGTATTGGAAATTTTTTTTTTTTTTTGTCAGAGTTGGCTTTTGAACCTAGGGCCTCAAGCCTGATCAAGTGCTCTACACTGAGTAATATCCCCACTGGCACATTCATTTTCATTGTCACTAAAAGCATACAAATGATTTCATTTTTTAATAAACTACATATACCCTAATCTAATATCTCCAGCAAGGCTATACTTGATACCGAGCCCAATACTTTATCAGGAATATAGCACTGACGTGCTCCCATCATTCACTTTGATTTAATCATGTAAATAGGTCACAGTTGAGACTATGTGAAGACATTTCTACATAATGCACTCTGTAGAGAACGTCACATTTCCTACCAATAGTGACATGCTCGTGAGTATTAAAAAAGCACTGTGAAACAATGTATGCACATACGAATAAATAAAAAATAAAGAAAAAAACAAAGAAAAGCACTGGCGACACAAAATGCCAGCTCAAAGCAGCACACCAACTTAATCTACCTTATAACACTTAAACCTTAAAATTCTTCATTGTTTCTCTAATTTAAGAAAGATCTACATACCACAGAAAAATATTTCAGTGTTTATCACTCAGTTTCCTCATCACCTTTGATTCAAACCATGGGTTAAAAAGACTGCCAGAACAACTACAAAGTACTTTCTGGCTGAGCTGGTAAAGTGGCTAAGAGGAAGAACGCCTGCCTAGCAAGCATGAGGCCCTGAGTTCAAACCCCAGTACTGCCAAAAAACAAAACAAAAAAACCAACATGGCACTTAATAAGCTCAAAGATGAATCTAATCCTTATTAAGGTGCCAATAAGCCACCCAAAGCTGCATGAATAACTTTTCCATTTATCATTATTTTCTTATTTAAGTTTTCTTTTATTGCATTCTTTTTATTCACTATATCATTTGATAAGAACAGTTACAGATTTTGCTAAGACCTGAAGTTTAATATAAATATTTATATACAGTAAGAGAAGGAATTATAACAAATTATATTTTAAAAGCCTGACATGTAAAGTATCACAAAATCCAGGAAGACAGCATAATATTTTCACTAACTAAGGATCTGCTACACCTTCTGAATTCTATTTTTCCTATGACTGCACATTATTTGCTGCCTCTTCAAGAATATAATTTCTTCTATTATACAACATAACACTTGGGCAAGACTTGGCTGAAGGGTATGTGTGTATACACAAATATATTCACATATTCATTCTTTTAATTTTTTGTGCTGGGGACTGAATCTAGGGCTTTGCACTACAGGAAAGCACGCTACCAATGAGCTACACAAGCAACTACACACAGACCCACACACACATTTTTTAGCTAGGTCCCAGTGGCTCACACCTGTAATCCTAGAAACTCAGGAGTCAGAGATCAGGAGGATTGACGTTCGAAGCTAGCCTGGGCAACTAGTTTGTGAGACCCTATCTCAAACAACCCTATTACAAAAATGGGGCTGCTGGAGTGGCTCAAGTTGAAGGCCCTGATTTCAAGCCCCAGGAGTGCAAAAAAAATTTTTTTAAAAAACTTTTTGAGATATGGTCTTGCTATGTAGGCCACACTAGCCCCAAATGCAAGTGGCTGGGATTCGAGGCAGGTGGCAAGATGCCCAGGCCTGTACATATATTTTAAATTAGTAGCCAGGAAACATAAAACAAGCAATTTCACTTAAAGATACATTTCTTGTTGACAGTACCATAGCTTTGTGTAAGATAAACCCAAACAATTTCATTTTATTTAAAAAATCTTTCAACAAAAAATGAATGTATGGTGAATTTATAAGTGAATGTGCTGTTTTCCTATTTTTAACAAGAGAAAAGTTCTGCTTTAATTGGAACCCGAGATTAATACATCCTATATTTACAATTTAAAGCACCAGAAGTGCTTTTACTGCCTACCTGTGGCTTCACAACTTTCAAACTTTGGCATCCCTACTATTCATGTATTATAGGTACCATGTTTGCATCACAACAGGCTAACAGGCAGTAAGTAGTACCTATGACCAGAAATGACTTGAACCAGAAACACATCCTACTAAGCTCAAATTAAGTATATCCCCATCTACAACATTGCTGAAGCCATCCTACTTCCGGATAATGGAGGTAAGGAGAAATCAAGGTGGAAAAAAATGCAGTTGAAATATTTTACTTTGGGAAATCTTGAAAACATTCCACTTCCATATGAACATTAGTTATTGATGTGGCATGCCTTTGGAAAAGTCCTAAAGTAGCAAAAATTCCTGAAATTCAACCTTTGAGGTAAACGTACCTCCATATTTAATGCATACAAAAGCCATGTAACCTGTGTGCTGTAGTTTGAATACAGCTTGTCCCCTCCAAAACTCATGCTGAAATTTAGTCCCTATTATGAAATATTAAGAGGTAAGGCCAGACAGAGCCTTTAAAACATGCTGAGGGCTCTGCCCTCAAGAACAGGCAATAAAAGATGCATGAGTTCCCTCCAGAGTGGGTCTGCTCTAAAAGGCAGTTAGGCTGGGTGCCTTACACACTCCCTATCTCTTGCCCTGTGATGCTGTGTACCATTCTGCAATTCTTCCAACAAAAAAGCTCTCACAAGATGCAGCCCATCAACCTTGAACCAGAACTTTGAGCCAAAATAAAATAACATATAGTCTATAATGCTGTGTTATCGAAACAGAAACTGAACTAAGACATATGCTTTTAAAAGATGTATACTTTTCTTTTAAAAATCCTAGCAGGTACCTTTTATTTTGTGTACATTTATAAACCAATTTTAAGATTTATGTGGCAATGTAAAGGACCAAATAATAT